CTGGGCAATCCCAAATTCATGTTTGTGCTTGAGTGTGCTTAATTTTGATGCAAGTGTAGTTGACAGATGCAAGTGAGAAATGTCTGGAGAGAGGCAGTCTGCAGGTATGTAACCTTACCTGGCTAAGCTGGTGTGGGTTGCACTTGCAAAAGCCTCTGAAAGAGTTAACAGGCTGTCATTACAATCCCTTTGTCATTACAGACAGTTGTAAAGTTCTTCCAAATTCTCTGTATTTGTGCTAGGTGGAGTGAGCAGCAGCTGCTGTTGTTGGGTCTGTAGTATGTTACAGCAGCAATTTATTCCATGGTTTTCTCACTAGATTGCAGTCTCTGCAGAAACACAGGCTTTTCTTCCTGAGATAGATGGGACTTTGAATTCAAACAAACTCACAGTACCTGAGCCCCAGACCCTCAATCACTGTAGATATAGTGGCTAATATACCAAAGAGCATATGCTGTTTCTGACAAACTTTAATAAAACACATTAAAGTTGGAGTCTGGAGAATTAAGATCTGCGTGTTCAACAAGCAGAAGAATTTGGAGCAGAATTCAAACTCTCTCCTTACATGAAATGGCTCTGAGCTTAAAATGTTATTTTTGTATTAATGTTATAATATTATTTTTAGAATCAATGGCAATCAGTATGTAATTGGCAGGGATCTCATGCACACTCCTGGGTACAGACTGTTCTTTCCCGGTTTCAGAGTATTTGCTTGTTATTGCTGAATTGCAGGCACAGAAGAGGCCCCACAGTCATTAAAACTCTCCCTGACAGGGCTCTTGCCATCGAGTACTCGGCAGTTAACCTCTCTGTGTGTCTCCTGATGAAGTTAGGACAGAAAATTTCTGCTTGTGGAAATCCTTCTCTTAGGCCTGTGTTTGATGATACACATGCACAATGTCACACTTCATGTTTGGAGTATGGCCCTGCAAAGGGATGAAAACTCTCCAGAGATTTCTTTTTAATGGCTTCCAGTACCTAAAGGGTCTGGAGGGGGACTTCTGCAAAGGCATGGAGTGATAGGACAAGAGGAAAGGGCTTTAAACTGACAGAGGGTAGGACTGTAGGAGAGGCACAGTTGAAATATGTTCTCTTGGGTGGCATGTGCTGTGTTTGACACCTTATAATACTGAGTCATGTAATAGGGTAGCCTCTCAAATGAGTTCACTTTGGATAGAGCCTCCTCTGATCTGTGTCTGTTGTAGAGAGGTTTGGTCTGTTGCAAAGACAAAAATGGTGCTTTCCCCGATAACTTTTTTTGTGTTCTTTGGATGAGATCTATACAAAATGAAAAATAGCAGTGTTTGGTGTTGGTTTGAAAATAGTGTTTTCATCTTTGACTGTGGACACATACAGGCCATATTAATAGGCTCTCTGCTTCTCATTTCGTCCTGGGATAGCCTTCCATTTTTCAGTGATTTGCAAGCACAGAAATAAGGAGATGCTACTAACAAATAGGTGGATAAAAGTTGAGAGAAAAATGATGATTCAGATGGTGAACACACTGACATATGTGCCATGGTACTGTCAGAACTGGGATTGCCTGGTTTCCCGATCATCTCTCTGCAAGATGACTTTGTCCTGTCTTGAATGTCTCAGACATCCATGACAAAGTCTGCAGTTAATCCAGCACTGTAAAAATAAAATACTGCAGAGCAAGTAAATCCCATCTTCCTGTAGCCAGCTGAAAACCAGACGTGCTGCTTTTGTTTGTACCCCTGAACTTCACAAATGAACACAACTTATTGTCAGCAGCTGCTGCTGTTCTAAGCTCAGAGTGCTGAGTTTCATTTCCTCTGCACTGCAAATGTGTGCGTTCTGCTGTCATGTATGGAGCCTGTCTTGAAATCATTATACTGTAAAAATCATGCTTGGCTGTGGCGACAGCAATCGAGAGAGAAATGCAAATCAGAGGTGGGCGGAAGTTTTTGGTGTTTAACACTTGCATTTTTGGTATTTAACACTTACACCAACAGGTGTGGGATTGTGTGAGGCTGGATTTCACTGTCCAACTGGGGTATTTGTTTCATGTCCTTATTTTTCAATGTATAGCTCTTGGTTTTACAGTTGTTGTACAGGCCCTGCTTTATTTTTAGTCCTTGCTCCTCCCAGAGGGATGCCCCTGCAAACACTGGGTGTCCTCCTGTGGGGAGGTTTTGTGGTGTTCACTGTCCCTGCAGGCAGGGAAGAGTTACAGCTGAGCTTCGTTTTGTGTCTGCCTTTGAAGCATTTAGAATTCATTTGCTATTTCAGATTCCAGCATGTAGACTTGGAAAAGCATTTCCCAGAGGGGGCAAAGCACTTGAAGGAGGAAGACAGTTTAAAGAGGTGAACTGCACACCAGTAAATCTGCTGTTTGCTTTGCTTTTTTCTCCTGAGGTTTCTTCACAGCTTTCTACTGCTCTGTGCCAGTGCAGCGCAGCAGCCAGGTGGGATCACTGCTTCAGAGCCCGGAGCTGCAGCCTCTGGCACTCCCAGGGAAGCTGCACAGCTTGTCCAGCACTCCTGGGCACAGGGGGAGAAACACGGAGAGCAAAGATCTTGACGGGAACACCACATAGATATTATGTCAGATGGTGTTTGAAACAAAAACAGGCCCTCACCTCATCTTCTGGCACTTTGTCAAACTCCAGAGGTTTGGGTGGGGCAGGAGGGCAGAGTGTGGGCAAGGCTGTGCGCTCTTGGGGACATGGGGGGTGGATGTGCCTGTTGCTCTGGTTCAGGCCAGCATCTCATTTGTGGGTAATAATTACCACACGAAAACAACAGTGAACACCTCCTCTTCCTTTATTAACTCCTTTATAAACAATGCATTTGCTGTACAGATTAGGATTTAGGGGTGTGTAGCCAAGTGGGGATTCGCCTTGTCTCCCAGGTAGCAAGTGACTGGGTAAGAGAAAATGACCTCAAGTTGTGCCAGGGAAGATTTGGGTTGGATATTACAAAAAATTTATTCATGGAAATGGTTGTCAAGCCCTGGCACAGGCTGCCCAGGGCAGTGGTGGAGTCACCATTCCTGGAGGGATTTAAAAGACTTGTAGGTGTGGCACTTGGGGACATGGTTTAGTGGTGGACTTGGTAGTGCTGGGGTAATGGTTGGAGTCCATGATCCTGAAAGTCTATTTCTACTTCAGTGAATCTCTGATTCTGTATAAAATGCTGTTCTTTTCTTCTCCTTAAAAAAAAAAAAGAAGACAGAAAAAAGAATTTAATTTCACGTGTGCCCTTAAAATTTGAAATTAAAAAAAAAAAATTTTCTCCCTAAACTAGAAAGATATTGTTTGTTTGAAAAATGTTTGCATTTTGGTTTGTGAGTTGTTGCCAGGGTTTTTGTGGGGCTTTTTTTTTTTTTATTTTAATTCCTCTGTATCCTTCTGTGTTGGACTGCTAAAGCTAATTGCAGACTGAGCATATTCATGGAGAGAGAATCACTTCATCCTCTCACAAAACAACATCTTCAAGTGGATAAACTATTCAAACATTTCTCATTGCTGAGCTGCAAAGGTCAAACTGATACTGACTTCCTGCATGGCCTTGGATAAGTCATTATCTCCCTCCCCTTTCTCTGCAAACCCTGGGTGTTTAGTTCCTCCCAGAAGAGGTGTGAGAAAGGATTAGCTCATGCTGGTAAAATGTTTTGAATACAAAATGTGATTCACAGGTGCTAAAAGATGATCCCATCAGTCATCATTAGCGATGCTGTCATTTCCCAGCCTCTGATTTTTGGTTAGGTCTTCCACAAGTGGAAAGGAAACAGGACAGACTCAAACAGTCTATCAATATTTATACTCCTGTCTTCAGATGTTTTAATAACAATTCATCATTCATTTCATCTGCTACTGATCACATTTAGAAATGATGATGTTTTCTGGCCTATGGGTCTAAAAATTGTGTCCCCTATTAGTCTGAGGACTGATTTCCATGGCTGGAGCAAAGGCAGCTCAGCCTCACCCACCCCTGGCTGTCCCCTTCGATAGACACATGTAAGTGCCCCTTGGTTCTGTTCTAGCCTGTCACATCTTTCCTAGAGCAGATTGCCACGTTCTCTGCTGTCTCTCAGACCCTGTGAGACTCCTCCCTTTTCTTTGCTGTTGTAAACTCACTGTGCTGTTGATGGGCAAGGACAAGTTCCCGTGGTATTAAGTCTCCACCTGTCACAGGGATGAAATCGTGAAGCAAAGCCTTACTCTGCTGCAGACAAGTATTTTACATGGTCTACTCCTTTTCCTTTATATGATATATTTTAAACATTGCAACATTATGGGCTGTGTACTTTTCAAAGAGCACCCAGTGTGGAGAAGCTCTTAATATGATGGTTAAGAGCCAACACCTGAGCCTGGCTCTGACCCTCCCAGGGAGCCCAAATGTCTGCAGCTGCTCACACAGGGCTTGTTGCTCCCACAGCTTCCCAGCTGCAGGAAGCCTGCAGTGCACCCACCCGATGGGAACGCTTTTCCAAAGTTCTAGTATGTAGAAACTGGGGAAAAAAAATAAGATTGGGAGGGGTTTGGTTTGTAGCAAAGTTGCTTCACTGGAAGAAAGCTCAGGCTATAGTCCCGTGGTCAGGTGGTTCTTTCTGCAGAGGAATGGGACAGTTCCTGGGATATCAAATTGTAATCATTATATCTCAAGGAGGGAAGGAAAGCACTAAAGGACCTGTTCTCGCTCCACTGAAATCTGTATTGGTTTTGTCATTGATGTTTAATGGTGTCAGGGTGAAGTGTCTGGTTAATCACTGCTTACAAACCTGAGTAAAACCCCCCTGCTCCATCTGAGATGGGGGTTGGACTGTGGCCCACTGAGGAAGGGGGTGCCAGTGTGGGTGACTTGGGCAGCTCAAAGGCCTCTTAGCTCTGTCTTTCTGCTGTGAACCCCAATGTGGGGATTTTTTGCAGTATGTTGGATTGCAATTGATTTATGTTGTCATGTAAGAAATGCTTGTAATGCATGGGATATGACTATTTTAGTAAGATGAGTATAATTTTTTTCCCCATTTATAGGATGGCTATTTTTCCCACCGACCGAAAGAGAAAATGCGAACAGACAGCAATAATGAAAATTCAGTCCCCAAGGACTTTGAAACTATTGATAACAGTAACTTTGCTCCCAGGACTCAGAGGCAAAAACACCAGTCTGAGCTGGTGAAAAAACCCCTTAGCAAGCAAAAGGAGCACTTGAGAAAGAAACTGGAAGAGGAAAAGATGAAGGAGAACTTGCTGCTGGGGAAGAACTCCAATGAGGTGGTGCAGTTCAGCGATCACCCTGGAAAAAACAGCAGCAGCAGCAACAACTACAACAATCTGAAGGAGATTGACAGGTCTCCCAAAGAGCATCTTTTAAAAAAAATTGAAAACAGCTTCCCTGAACTGAAATACGACCAACCACCAAAGTGTGAGGTGACGGGCAAAGAGGCAATCTCAGCCATGTCCCGCTCTAAGTCTAAGCAGTGTCGGCAGGAGATCGCGGATGTGTATTGCCAGCACAAGGTCGGGAAGCTGATGCCGGAGAAGGTGACACGTTTCTGTGCCCTGGAGGGTAAGTTGGTCGATGGTGAAGGAGAAATAACACAATGTCTCGGGGAAGGAACTCTGTGTATTTGTATTGGCCTTCTGATGAGAAAAAGGGCTTTATTGCAGGAGTGTGTAATGTGCTTAGCCCATGAAAACAAGGGAGGGTTTGACGGTGTTTTAAACAGGGAATTATATGGATGTCACAAGATCCTCGGTCGATTCCTATAGAATATCTTTTCACTGCCACCAGATTTTTATTGCATAGTGTGATCTAGGTATTCAGCTGCTAGTCTTGTTTCTTCTAGATCTTAGTCTACAGAGATAGAAGTATAGCCAAAGTCTGGTTATTCTGTGCAGGAGTTGCATGCTTTTTAGTGATCAGGGAACAGCCATTGTGTATGTTGGTGCTTTATGCTAACCAATAAATGAGTGGCATTGCTGTTAAGGCCATATGGCTATTTTTCTGGCACAGTGGAATCCTAAGCATTTTGATAACCCAGGTAATTATCAGAAGTATAGTAAAAAAATTTTCAAAAGCATGGGGAAAATCCAGTTTTGTGGCTGACTTCTATTTTTAATGTTCTTGAATCAGCAAAAGTTATTTTCAAAATCACTGCTGTAGAGAGTCAGTTACCTCTGCTGGCCTAAGCCAAGCTTTGATTTGTTGCCTTTGGTTTCTCCATGCCTTCAGATCACAAGTTACCTCTCAGCTTGCTGTCAGTTTGCATTTCTGAGCTGACCTTTTCCTACTTTTCCGAGGCTGCTTCGCGTGCCACCATTCACCATGCTATATGCTCCCCACAGAGCAAAGTGCCTTCTAAAAGAAAAAAAAACACCAGCATTGATCAGTTGATCAAAGTGGGTATTGATCAAGAAGCAGTGTTATCCACAGCAGCATTTGTTTATATAACAGTCCAGAGTCCCCACCCTGTAACTTCAGCCCACGCACAGAAGGATGTGCTGATGCCTTTGGCAGAGCTGAAAGTGGAGAGGAACTTTTACAAACTAGAGGATAGGTCTTGCTTTGAGATTACAGAGTAAACATGGGGACTAGGGGATGTTTAGTTTCTTTCATTAGGAATATTTAGTTACATCTTCTAACCCTCGCAGTACCTGTTTATTGCACCATCACAAAGCAGTGGGTGCTATAGGGTGGTTTCAGTGTGGTGGAGAGGATGGTACATGTTGCTATTGCCTAAATTAGGAGGTTAAATTCCCTGTACAAACAGTGGAAAAGAAGAGGTGCCCCAGAGAATGTTTCTAACCAAGCGCATCTCCCTGTAATAAGATTCTTAGGTTTTTAATTTAGATGGTGCATGTTAAAAGGATGAATGGTGTGAGCACCCCATTCCCCACCCCAGTGCATCTGTGGCTGTTCTGTTTTGGTTTTTTACCATGTCTCTTTTGGTGTTTTTTCTGCCTCTCTTATCATGGAAATAATTCCAAGTTGTTAAGCTGAATGGACAGACATTGGAGACCAAGAATTAATGGAGCAGGTAGAAGGCTTGGTGTTCAGTGGGAAGATGGGAAGAGGAACAACAAAGGCAGCACAAGTTGAAGGGGAGATAAAAAGGACAGCAGAGAATTAAGAATTTAGCAAACCCAGACATCAGTGACAGACTGAGCATCAGTGAGTACCCCTGGGTGTCCCTGAGGTCCCAGTGAGGTGCCAAAGATGGAATTCAGGGTGAAAAACATGTCCCTGCTGTCCTTCCCTCTTCCTTCCTAATGACAGGGCAGTCAGCTCTGGTCTGTTGATGGAAGTCAGCACCTTGCAGACACTGTCCTACACTTTTTGGGATCAAGGAACTCTTAGTAATGTAATAGATGCTATATACCTTGTGTAGAGTAAATGCATCACGTATACAAATATGCAAGTGATGTCCTGGAGAGAGCTGGAAGATGTATTGTCATTAGCATGGGCACACACTGCAAGTGTGCAATTTTGCACACACCTATGATTCCATCCCCTGCCTGGTAATCTGTCTCCCAGGGATAAAGGGTGACTTTCCAGAAGTTTTAAAAACCTGCCATTCTTAAAAACAGGTTTCTCAAGAAATATTTATTGCTTCTTTTTTAAATACAGGTTTTATCTCTCGTGCCCTGCATCTGGGATAATAGTGTGATCTTAGAACCAAGTACAGTGTTAGACTTTACACTTGAAGCCTTTCAGCATGTATGTACATAGGACATTGATATAAATGCTTCCGTTGTAATAAGACACAGTGAAATGTTCAGGAAATCTGTAGGTCCCTTGAATTTCACAACCCTGTTCAAGATACATTATCTGAGTTTGAGTTGTGGTCCCATATCTGTCCTCCGCACTGTAGTACATAAATAGTGCTGTCATTCACTCACAGAGTGGCTCCATCCCTCATCAAAGGTGGTTTCATCAACTCTGGGGTCCTTGAAAGGAGATGAACTTGGTTAGGGGATGTTTCTGAAGCTCTGGCCATCAGCTTTTGGGGATAGACACCCCACTGTTAGGATTGCTGGTAGGGAGAGATTGTGAGTAGGAGGTCTTGCTACTTTGTGCATTAAAAAAGCTACATGCTGTTTGTCAGCATAAGTGAGACACTGGGGTCCTGAGTCTGTATTCAACATGTGAGTGTTGTTCCCTTCAGTTTTGTTTGAAAAAAGGTTTCCTGTCTGTTTTCAGCAGAGCTGTGAAGTATAAATATTTATGCATTTGGAGCAGCACATTCATCATTATCCCAACATATAAACATGTTCCCAGTGCTGTGGTTTCCATTGAGATGTCATCCATTGTTTAATCCCCTTGGATCTTGTCTCAGCTGATCAAAACCACAACGTTGCTAAGTGTAGCTATCAGTCATGGGCTCCATCCAACTGGATTGTCATAAATGTTAAGTGATATGTTCACTTGGGTGGTTATCAACGGGGACAGGATCGTACAAGCTGTTTCTTTTTTAAATATTTTATTGTTTCCAAAGGCAACAGGCAAAGGAAGTTGATTATAACTATCTTCACCGTATACAAGAAGGGATTGTTGAAACCAAGAGCATGATATTCACTACTTGTTTGACATGCAGGTGTTATTTCTTTGGGGGCTGCAGTCTCTCTAAGGGCATTGTTTCTGAAGCAGCAAAACAGGACAGGGCAGCTTTACCAGTTATCTGACCTGCAGAGCACGTGAGATGGCATTTCCCAGCAAGCTGGCCCTAAAAACAGGGCAGAAATGCTATGGAATAGGACACTGGTGTCATAGGCTTTATATGCAGCCTTATCCAAAGTCTTGGCTGAGATCAGGACAACAGGCAGCTTGAAAGTCTCCCTTCACTCAGAAGGGAATGTTTGGAGTTTGTAGAAGTGTGTTTTAGGGACAATGCAGTCAGCAAATGGGAAAGGGGGAATGTAGGTACAGCACAAGGTTAGATGAGGAAAGGGCAAATCCAGTCCTCTGCAGGTTGAGAAGAGGGTACAGGGAGACATCCTTTGGGGAGTTCATTTCTTCTCAGGAGACATGATATGGAGGTCATCAACCTGTGGACAGTGTGGCAGATTGTGTCCTTGTGGGGGCCACCTTCAGCCTAGTCCTGTACAGGCCAGACTAGGGACACTTGATTCCTGTGATGTGACAGATTTGCTTCTGCTCACCAAAGCTGTTGGTGGCCATGGACCAGCTGCCTCCCTTCTTTGCCTGTCATCACACATGGCCCTCCTCTTGTGCAGGGGTACTGGGAGGAAGCAGAAGTTTAAATGGGAATTCTTACCTCTAAAATAATCTTCGCTCTGTACCTAGATAAAATCCTCTTTGACAAAGCACAAGTGATCTGCTGCCAGCAGAATCTCTTATTACCATGGGCAGGAGCACAGACTGTGACCCTGACCATGACTGCTGAGATTGCTGCCCAACAGCAAGGGGCAGCAATGCAAATGCAATTATACAACTCCACATTTCAACATGATACTGAAGTTGTGATTTCTGCTCACAGTCTTCCTTTCGTGATGAAAGTAGCCCAGCTGCTGACCCACTGGCTGGGTTCAGTTCCCTGGTTCTCTGGTTTTCACTTCCATGTGGATCGTGGTAGTTTGTAGCTCTGAATTCCCTTGCAAGTTTGTTGGATGGATATTGAGCACAGTTCCTCCTTAGTCATCAGCACAAGATCCATGAGGTCTGTGAGTCATCACAGGCACCGGGCCAAGGGATATCTGCATCAGGCCTCCTCTGGGCCACCTTCTCTGGGCTGCCATATCCCTGGGGGAGACTGGTCTAATCCTTGTCATTAATTACCCAACTGGGTTTATTCTTGACCCAAATCTATGGCTCTAGGTAGACTAAAGATATGTAGCAGGGTTTTTTGAGGGGTGTTTTCTGGTGAAAGAAAAGTCTCTAGGAAAGCAGAAATCCTCAAGTGAGCCTGATTTATTTCCCTCTGGCTCTTCTGTTGTCTTTTCTTAGTTTTTAAATCAAACAGGTTTTCTGCTGCCTTCTTCCCTGTGGAGTAAACCCAGCTTATAATAATGTAGGAAAATAATCAAGCTACCCTCATTCCACATCATTCATCAGACTGCCTTCTCCCGGGTTGCTTATTGATAATGCTGCTCTGGCACATCGAAGAGCTTTCAGCTTCTTACAGGCTGCTGAGGAGAAAATTTTCCATTTTGTTTTAGAAAACACAACCTTTTGGTTTTCAAACTGAGAGAAAAGGGCTCTGGAGCTCTGTTTACTGAATAATACACACAGGTAATAGCAATCTGAATGTCTGTAGTGTTTTTATCCGACTGTTTCAAAGCACTCAACAGAAAGAGCTGTGATTCGCAGGAAGGGAGAGAATAAGCCACTAAGATGCCAAATAGTTACGGGGTGGAGCAGAGCTGTTCTTTAAGGCATGGAAATGAGAGCATCCTCTATAAAGTTTTAAAAGAATGGGACCTGTAACTAAGCAAATAGAGGATTTCATCCACTCACTGTGCATGTATGCACAGTGACGTATGGACGTTTGATTTGTTCAGCTTTTAAGTGTTTGGCAGCGCATTTTTGGACTCGCTGGGTTTGATCTA